AAATCAATTGCGTTTCCTTCAATTGGCAGTGGCAGGTAAGGCTGTTGCATAAACATGATAGTTGATACAGGCTATGATGTTTCCTAAGTGGCATCTCCTCTGTACCTGTCCCTTCTCATGTACAAAACTCACTTCTACAATGCTGACTCAATTCTTGCTTGTTTGGATCAGTTCCCTGAATGCAATGTTTCTTCTGGGTTTCTTCAAGCTGCACTATGGAGCCTGTAGTATTCTGAGTAGTAGTTAAACTTCAGCGTGTCTAGCAGTGATCCCTGCAGACCTTTGAAGCATACAAATAGATTAAAGAGCATAAAAATAACTTTTTAAGAGTATATTAAAAGCCTTTTTTTCAGACTATTAATTTGTTCATATAAACTGGGGATATGGAGGACAGCACGAAGAAAAGTGGTCTCTTTCACCTCATTTTACTGCATGTCGTAGGATGGCCTGAAGATACAGAATCACAGAAAGGTTTGGGTAGGCAGGGACCTTAAAGATCATCCATTTCCAACCCCCTGCACAGGACAGGGACACCTCCCACCAGCCCAGGTTGCTCCAAGCCCCATCCAGCCTGGCCTTGAACACCTCCAGGGATGGGGCATCCACAGCATCTCTAGGGCAATTTGTTCCAGTGCCTCACCACTTTCATAGTAAAGAATTTGTTACTTATATCTAATCTTAATCTACCCTCATTTAGTTTAAAGCCCTTACTCCTTGTCCTATCACTACACTCCCTGATAAAGAGGCCTTTACATGTCTTAGTATTTGTTTAAGCAGTAGACCTGAAGTGCCTTGATTCTCTGGATTTCCAAAGTCACTTCAAGCTTTCACCCAAAGTCTTCAAGCTGAACTCCACACAGTTTATATCATAAGACTCTCTCAGGAAAAAGAAAAAAAAAAAAAAAAGGTTTTAAAAGTCTTCGTCAAGATTTTTGAAAGCCAGAGTATAAAGTGAAGGTCCTCTAGATTTGTACAGGATGCTCACTGCCTTTCCTGGATAATGTTTTTAAGAATCTAAATATGGACCAGCATTTTAATTTAAGGCTATTGCATTTGGAAAGGATAGGGAGGTTTAGAGCACTTGGCCCTTGGTTGCTCAGAATGAAACACCAAATCTATGCTGAATCACACAGTGGTGCATTTAACTCTGAACAACTGCCACTTTTGAAATTGCCGTGAAAGAATTTGGCTGATCTTCACCAAGAATCTTCTTCCCATTGTGCCATGTTGCAACATTAGATTAATTCCTGCACATTCTTTGTAGGGCAGAAAGCACTATTTGAGCTTTTGGGTGAATGACAGTGAAGAAATCGAAGTTTTATTAGGATAATAAATGTAGGTGACTTGCATCAGACAGCTCCAAATAAGGTGGTTTTGGATGGGTGGCATTTTAAGGAGGTAACTTGAGCAAACTTTATGGAATGGTAGAGCAATACAGTGGAGGATTCATACTGACCTGGTGAATTAGCTGTTGGATAAAGCAAGGCTACAAAAAAAATACCTTCCACTGGAGCCCTTTCTTTTCTGGAGAGCTCCCAGTGAAGAGCCTTCCAAACTGTTGTTGCAAAGTAGTTGAGTGGTGTTGGAAGATGATGAAACCCTGAATAATCATGAGATCCACGTTCTGTTATGAAATCTGGTTACTGACAGGCAAGATCTGTGGCTATGTTCTCAGCTTGGCATGTGTATGTTGCTCTTACTCAAGCCAGTTGAAGTGGTGCTTTGAAAAGATGGAGAGGAATCAACAGGCACTGAGACATGTATGAGGTTGTATATTTTCCCTCTCCTCTTTAATTAGAGTTATTCAAGCATAAATGAATTTTGGAGAAAACAGAATATATTCTGACAATACTCTACTTGTTTTTATGAAGTCAGAAGTGTTAAAAGAAGTAAAGCTTTTAAAGAAAGCAAATGCCAAAGACACCACATGTATGCAGCTGTTCTAGTACAGACATCTGTCAAGCAGACATCACCCAATAAACCCACATAAACAGTTTCTTTCTCTTTTATAGTGGAGGAATGGGATTACATGAGGGCAGTTCAAATAAATCATGAGAGAAAATAAAATAGCATACTTGTAGTGTTCGGTGGGCCAGATGCTCAGCTACAGCCAACTTGTGGAAAGCACAAATTGGGTGCTGTACAAAGGTAGCCTGGAGTTCACTCTGGTAGGGCCAGCAGGAGAACAGGGAAAGAAGAGTTCAGGATTGAAAATAAAATCATCCTCAAAGTAGGGATTTCGTTCTGAGGCTCCAACTTTGATCTGAATTGATACTAGCTTGGCTAAAGCCTCAAGCCACCTATTCTCAAGAATTTAACTCAGACCAGTAGATCGATGCAAGAGGCTTCTGTTTCTTCTTGCAGCCCACACGTGGCCATTGGTCAGCATCCTACTTCTGATTTTTCCACTTTCTCTTTCCCTTCTTTAGCAAGTGGTCCTAAACAGCTCGTTTTCATCAGCTTCCCTGCGTGCATGCCTCCCTTTGATCAGGCTGCTCTTCTTTCGTTTGCCTTGTCACAACCACTTTACTGGGACATGGCTCAATTGGAAGTTGCATGGCTTCAGAGTCCTCGTCAGCACTGCAGAAACAGCGTGCACCCTGATTTTGATGCTGGCCTGTTCAGGAGCAAAATTCCTCAAAGGTCTGTTCTCGATATGCCAGGATGCAGCATTCCTAAGTAACCAGCAAGGGGTCAGATGTGGAGGCGTCTTTCTCTGTGTAAGCCACCAGCAGGAATTAGCTCTGATGTCAAAACTGTGCTGCCAGTTGATTACCTTATCACACGGCTGGTTCTGCCTGAGCAGCTCAGTTGTCTTTGGAAGAGTACAAGTGTTTTCACAGTGCTCTTTCTTTTTTTGTCTTCTTCAGTGAGAGAACAAAACAGGCATTTTCAGAAAAGAAAAGAACAGCAAGATGTGCTATTTCATGTCATCATCTCTGAAATATCACAAGCACTGTCCTCAGGCAGCAGGTGTAATACCCCATTACAGGCAGCACTACCCCAGAATTGCTCTCACAGTGTATTTTATGGTCAGGTAATGTGCAGTAAGCGGTCCGTGACACAGGCAATTGCCTTTCTCGTTTTGTGTCTTGCAGCATGTAATGAGAGGGAGAGTACAACAGTGTTTTATTAGCAGAGGTTGGTGCTTCAGTGAGCAAATGCTGTCATGTTGCACCTGTTAACACCAGAGGTGAATTTAGTCCAGCTTCTTTGAATTGCTGAGGAAACTCAAACTCACCTACCTGTGTAATTTTTAAATTATTAATAATATTTCCCAATATTATAGGACAGTGTAACACACTTTTGTTGGCTTAAATGAAAGAATATGTTATCAATCTTTTTGAATAAAAAAAAAGATGGAAACCTGTCAAACTTAGAACTGTTAAGTCACCATCTATCTCTGCCACTCTGTATTGAAAATTCACGTGAAAGTGGTTTTAGTATCTCCTTATCACCCTGTGTCTAAGAAAGATTTGCATAAATGCATACTTTATTACAAGGAGTGTTGACTGTCATGTACCTGTAAGTGTATGTCAGTCAATCAAGTGATGTTCAACAGCCTCTTCAAATTCTTTTGGGTCCTGCTCTTAACAGAAGGGTGACATCCCATCACATTCAGGCTGATTATTTCCGTGTACTTTACTGTGGCCTGGGGATTGCTCAGACTTTGACGAGGGCAAAACCACCCTCTGGGTGGGCAGAAATACTTCCTGAGTAATACAGCAGCAAAGCGTAGACCACATTCCAGTACCAGGTGTAATGTGGGGCTTTTGCCATGACCTGTAAAACGTTTTCATAGTTGAGGTCATGGCTTTGTTCAGACTGCTCTCCTTGTGCTTGACCTGTCCTAACATTAGATGAAACTTTCAGACAAGAGCTACAAGAGATAAATGAGGAAAGAAAACTGTAAGCAGAGTTCCTAGGCTAGGTACTCAGCTTTGAAATTTGGCCACGCACAGCTTAGTCATCTGAGAAAGCAGCAAGGTTTTTCTGTTTTCTCTTCTCATGCTGTTTGTATACCAAGTTCCAGGTCCCTTTTTATTTTTCTTCAGGGGTTGGTTTGCTTTCACGATGGGTTTGACTCTGCAACTCTAAGGTATATGCAGATTCCTGAACACTTCAGGCTGACCGGCCATTGGTTTCCTTGTCTGTTAAATGAGCATAATTGAGCCTTCGGATGGTGAAAGGTTCAACACATTAACGTGTGGACTCTGTGTTCGTGTATTGGGAATGCTTTCTTCTGTTTGAACATTTTAAGTCTTGCTTAAACAAACAACTTTGTAGCTTCTAATTCCGCCTGTAAACACTAGCTTTGTGGCTTTATTTGCTGTGCTGCATTAGAGAAAAGGCTGAGCATTCCCTGCAAGGTTATACCATCAAAAGCTTGTTCTGCAGGTCTTGATTTCCTTTCTTTTTTTCCTGTTTCTCTTATTAGAAACGGTTTCCCAAAGCAAACGGCTGCCCAGCTGATCCTGAAAGCCATCTCCAGCTATTTTGTGTCAACAATGTCCTCTTCAATCAAGACGGTGTACTTCGTGCTCTTCGACAGTGAGAGTATAGGGATATATGTGCAGGAAATGGCCAAACTAGATGCCAACTAAGCATAGAAAGCTACAGTACCAGCTCCCTCTTACCCATCTTCTTCCCCCAAATCCTTAACTCATTGTGAAGCAGAACATCCCTTATTTTAAATTTTGCTCATCTAGGGAAATAAAGGTGGTTTTTTGGATTTATTTTAGTTTTATTTTGTTTTTTACTTTCTAAAACGTTTTATGTTGGCACTGATAGTTGGCATTACTGCTGTTAATGCACTGTATACCAGGCATCGTCTGAACTTAGTGTAATCTAGGAGATTTTATAGTTTTATTTTAATGAAGTATGGTTGAAGCAGAAAGCTGTTAGGAATATGTAGTCTTTTACTTGTGAAAGAAACAGGCCGACCCTATTTTGTAACTGTGTTGTGGTGCTTTATCAATACATCGAGTGGCGTTCCTTTCATTTTTTAAGAGAACAGATGCTATAAACCTAATTTGTGTTTGTTTATTGTCTTAATGATAAATCTGGAAGAAAAGATACAGAAACCCTGTTGTTCTTAATTATATTTACAATTTTGAAATCGTGTGAATTGATTTAGTAAAATGTTTGAACTGTTGCTGTCAGTGTATTTGAATTAATTTTTCCCTTAAGTCTTTATTTTATAAATTCTGAAAAGGTAGCTGTGAGAAGGATGATGAAACCAGATCTGAACTATCAGCCTGGAAACTTGTTTGGAGATGCTGGGCACCTTACATGTACCGGCTGGATGACTACATGCTTGGTGACACCCACAACTGAACTTTCTGCAGTGAGCATTCAGACTTTCCTGTTGGTGCTTCAGATCCTCCTGTTCAGAATCTGACTTAATTGGCTGTTTATTTTGAGAGGTCCAAGCCTTTTATATCAAATAAGGCCTAGGGTTTGTTTTTTTTTGAACTAGTTCCAGTCACTGAATATTGGCTTGTTTGAAGCCATTTTGTATTTTTTTTCCCTACTCTTTATGAGCCCAGTTTGTACTGGTTGCCATATAGTTTGCACAGCTGAAATCCATACCAACATAAACCTTACGGAAGCCACTTGTTTTTGTACTTTGAGAAAGAAGAGGTTACATGTTCAAAAGCTATTGCATATGAATGCTCTCTCTGAAGAGGAAGCTCTTCCTTTGAAGTCTTTAGCCTACTTTCTAGATAGTAGGCATACGTTTTCGATTTCTGTGGAAAACTTCATTTGCTGATGAAAGAGTGCTTCACATCCATCCTGGGTTGATGCAGAGCAATGAGTGGATGAAATGTGACTGACTGTTAACAGTAAGCTCAGGACTCCATATATGTATCCTGATTATCAAATATTAAAAACATGTAGTTTAAGCTCCTGCAAGAGTTTGTTTTTTTGCACAGAATTCTGAATACTTGCAGCTTCAAGTGGAGTGCTCCAGAGGAACAACAGTGCCAATACTAGAAGACAATTTAAATTAACAGTGCTGTTCTAAACATGTACACAAAGTTAAAGAGGAACAGAGAATAAGTTAACTCTGTGCAGATGTGTAAAGTGTTTGACCATAGTATGAATGCAAACTTGAAATTTTTAAATGGCCCAAATGCATCTGGTATCAGTCTTTAATGACAGCAGGTTAAGTGGCAATAAATAAGATGCAGTACTTTAGCATTTAATTGTGGAAGGGGTGCTGCACTTTCCATAAATTTCACTAGGTGTCACTAAAAGGATTGAAGAGTAGACAAAAGCATGGATGAGGGTCATAAGGAAACACTTGGTATGAAAAGGGCCCTGAGTTCTTAAGCTCAGAAGGGGATATTTAATACAGGAGTGTACACATCAAACCAACTGTGTACCCAACAAATTACAGCTTCTTGGTCTCTTTGCACTGTAGAAGTTACTGTAATGTTTCTTAAGTCCCAAAATTTTTGATGTCAATAACATGAAAAGTGTTTGATCAGGGGTGTTTTCAAAGCAGTTAAAGTACAACACCCAGTGGTATTTAACAAATCTGACTTACACTGCTACACAAAATGAAGGGATGGCAACTTCTGTCTTTCAAGAAAATCCTGAAGTAAATTGTAATGCAATTCAAATTACATGGACTTGTTTCTCCTGGCTTGAAATATTTTCTGCTTATTCAGCCACTGGCTCCATGAACAGTTCCACTGCTCCCATCGGATTGCTTGTGACATGCAGTTTGCCTTGTTTGACTGCATGTCCTTTTGCAAACAAAGACCCATGGAGCAGCTCCCACCTGGTGAGGATCTGAGCTCTCAGCACCACAGTGAACGGTTATCAGTGCTTCTTACAGTGCCTTGGATAAGAAGGAGAATGCCATGCTCACAGTGGGCAGGGCCCCAACCTGAGAGCTTTCAGGAAGCCTGTTCTCATTCTAACTCATAACTGAAGCATCTTTTGCTCCTGTCTAAAATCACTGCCAATTTTGAAGCTAGTCTCCTAGGTAGCATCACTGTGTTCTCCTTCCGTACAAACACCAGAGCTTCCTCCTCCTTCCTAGCATTTATTCAAAAGCTCATAAAGCTTTTGCAGTGTTTGCAGTAAATACTGTGATTCCATTGCTTTGACCCAGCCTGCTCTGAAAGCGACCTTGAACTGCTGCCCAGCTGGTCCCTACCGCACTTGGAGCAGGGGAAGTTTGCCTGGAGGAGGAGTTGGTGGTCTCTGACACAGCCCTGCCTCCCAGTCAGCACTCACCCACGTTTCCCACAGCCTGAAGAATGCTGCTCTGAGGTCCTGAAATCCAGCAGGCTTTGTCAGGAAAGCAGAAGCCAAAGATCCTGGAGCAAGCTTGAACTCAGCCACATGGTGCAGCCCGAGTAGATTATGGCTTATATTCAAGTACCTAAAAAGCAACAGATCTGGTTACATGCATAAGAAAAACAGAGGAAATTCCTGCTAACGTGTACTGCGACCAAGATGATACCACTTTGGGAATCCTCCTAGCATTGTGTTTGTTATAGTTAAGTGTGCAAGCTCCATGCAAAAATAAATCAATCATATTTCAGGAGGGATGCAAACAGAAAGTCTCAGTCAAAGCGACTTTACAGCTTGTTCTTCTCTTGCTAAGACCTTTTGGGATCTTATCTGAAAACAACAGTTAAAATCAGTGTCCTCTCTTTACCAATTCATATACTTTAAAAGGTTGAAAATGCTGCTGGCAACAAAATACTTTTAATCAACTGCTTCAAATCTTGCTCTCCACTACTATTCTGCTTTTAGTCCACTGACTTTTTCCACTGTGGAAGAGAAAATTCACTGTAATACTGTTCTTGGGTGCATCAAAAGTCACGTAACTTCAGCAGTTCACTCTGATTTTGCAGGCTATCACCCTCCCGAAGCTTTTCTCATCCTAGGCTGACAGGCTGTGTGATTAGCTAAGCAGGTATAATTACCCTACCACAGTCATGGTCAGGTTGCCAGGCTGGGTTTTAGAAGCAATTAGCTGCTGACAGAAGTGTTAATTTGCCCTGGAGAGGAATTAAGCAAAAATGCAAATTTGGGGTCTTTCTCCTAACCCCCCATCTGAAGAGGAATAGCTCACAGTCCTGCTGCAGCTCTTCTGCCTCTTTGGGTTCTGGCTTCCTGAGGTCCAGCCCCCACCTCCCACCCCACCCCGAAATGGAAGCAATGAACAACATTTGTGTAACCTTTAGTTTTCTAAAACAGTTTGAGGAGGGCAGATTATTTAGGAACAGCAGCACAGATGTGTCTTCTGGATGATTAGCGCAGTGATGGACAGGTTAGACTTTGGGTCTCATGTTACATCCCACTCAAATCAGCCCTCCCTACCTCATGATTTATTTAAGAGTCGCTAACAAAACTTGCTGCATTTGCTTCAGCTCCTTTCTGGATCTCAACTTTTTGGAAGTCTGGATGAGTAGTTTGGGAGATTCAGAGGTACAAGCAGGCTCCTAGCACTCACATCCAGCCCACAACCCCAACTGAAATCTTCCTACTGCTCTTAGACATACCCCAGACAAAGGACTGGGTATGCCCCAAGCTACTTCAGCTCATCCTGTCCTGCAACAGAGAGTGAAAGCAAGGTGGCCAAGCAAAGGCTGATCCCAACAAAGGTGGGTGATGGGAGGCACAGGAATGTGTTGGGGCTTTTTTTTTTTTTGCCAACAACAAATGCTGCTTATGTACAAGCTTATCATAATTACAAAATATCACTCTATGACTCATTAGGAGCAGCATCAGCATGATTATAAGCACTATATGAAAATAGGAAGATATTAATAGCTAGAAGGGAGAGCTTCTAACCCTTCAGCATTCAGACATACTGTGGTGAAGTCGACAAAGTATTTGTGCAAGTGTGAGGAAGGCTGGAATCTGACTCACCAGGCTTGAGCAGAGCACTTGTAGAAATGCTTTTCTCAATAAAAACAAGGCAGGAACTTTGTTTCTCTCCAGACATCTGATGGATCTGAGAAGCTAAGAATTCAGAGAGAGTACCCCAAAAGGTAAGATAAAACACGGAACTGAGGCGCATAGGCTGAAAGAGCAAGAAGACTCCTTGTTAGCCAAACAAGCAGAAGTCTGCAGAAAAACAAGGCTCCAATTTCCCTGCGTTAACACCAAGTTTTTTTTGTGAGCTCCCTTCCCCTTGATCCTAGCTAAAATTGGGTTTTCTAGCCTGAAAAACAGCATTGACAGGAGCTGCAGGTGCCCGGGCACTCGAAGATCAGGTCTGTAGCCCGTGGTAACTAGTGACATACCGTGCTCCGTGGTGGTTTTACAGAGGACGGTAATACCTAAAGCTGCAGTGGCAACCCAGAGGGAGCAGCATAATTGATAGGCCTGAAGAGTGCAGGTAAGTAGAAGGATTGTATTTATATCTCTGGCGTGAAACCCAATGGGAACCAGGCTATCGCACACTGGCTGAAGTGCTTGAAAATTGCCACCAATTCCTTTCTGTATTGAGTTCTTCAGAGATTTAGTTCATTCCTCCATCGAATCCTACTTAATGCCTGCACAACTCATGTTTAACCATTATCACTAGCACCCAGCTCATAAACGCTTCCTCCTTGTCAGACACCTCGGACAGGAATCAAGGGGAGATGATTCCGCCGTTCCCTAATACAAAGCAAGGAGTGACACCGCTTCACAGCGTAGCCTACGAAATCCCAACTCTTCCCCGCTTTCTCGCCAGCCTGGCTAACAGAAGAAATTTGATATTTCTGCACCTTGAAATGACTCGCCTTCTCAGGCTTAGGAGAATAAATTAAAGTTGAGCCAAAGTATGCCTCAGCTGCAGCGATGGGCAGATTGATTTGCTTTCCATCTGGGAGATTAAATTCCACTGCCAAAAAAATGGCACCAGCATAATTAGCTGTCAGTCAAGTTGCAAAGAGACAGACTATGTGGGATAATTGAAAGCCCTGCAGCTTCTCATTACATACTACAGTAGCCCTATTTGCAAATTTCCACCTTGAGGAGGTTCCCCGAACATTGTCAGGATTGTACTTACTCCTCCTGGCACATTCTTCTGAAGTGAAACAGGAATATTGTGCAGGGATGGATTAATTTTAAGTAATTCTCGCTTAACCTAAGTTGGCTATAATATATTTGTCAACAGCCCCTGACAGCTCCACTAGGCTTTAATTGCAAGCAAATCCAAGCAACCTGAAGGAAGTGGTAGCTCTTCAACTCCGTTTATGCCCAGGAGACGTCTTTCTAGGCCTAAAAAACACCTAAAAAAAAAGTCACCTCCCTTCTTTTTCCCTCAACACAATATCCCTCCCTCACAGTTTCTTTTATTATTTCTCATAATGAGCCTATCAGCCTGCAGTGTCACAAACATGTACATTTCATTTAAAATAATCAACTTTTCTTTTCCCATTTCATGGAGCCCAGGAGTGGTTCAGCAATAGCTGAGCATACACAAAAAGTTTAGGAGAGATGAGCAGCTCTGATGGTCACATTGATGGCTGTGGGCTCTTCTTGGTAAGATGGTGAGAGGCAAAAAGGGCCCTAGGAATAAAATATATTACAGTCCTCATCCTAAAAACACAGGGAGTGTGCAAAGCATTTGACTTCAGAGTATAATAGCAGCCAGTACTGACTACAACCTCCTTTTCAGGTGAGCATCTCTACTTTGTCACCCTTCGCCAGTAACTGCCCAACTCGCCAATAAAACAAAGAATTCAGCCCATCACTCTTGCCAATTCCCCATTTTTTAACAGGAAACAATAACCGCCAGCTCTGCTGAAGGCCTCAGCCATCCTTCACTCCCCAGGAGCGGAGGCAGCGCTGCGCCACTGGCCTTACAGCCAGGCATTATCTGATCACGTCTGCACTAATGTGCTTTTATGCTAACCTAACCGAGGTGGGAGGAGATGGGGGAGATTTTGTGGGCTTTGCCTGCTTTTGGCAGCTTTAAAGTTCTCCACGCAGGAAGGTTGCTGCTTCCCACAGAAGAGGGAGCCAGTGTCACACCTCCCACATGGCTCCGAAAGCTCTGAGCTAATAAAGCCCAGCCTAATACACTAATAACTCTTCTTAAACCAGAGCTTTCATTATAAAGAGTAATTTATGTTCACCTTTAAGAGCACCACAAGCCTGAGCCCTCTTACAGGCCCAGATTTGCCTCTCGCCTCCCTGTAGCACTTCCCTGGAGCTGGGAGTATTTCCAGACCTGCTGGGGACTTACTGGTGCGAACTGGGAGCCAAATGGAACCGAACAGGTAGTTCAAGAAGTGCTGAGGCTGAAGTAATACCTCGCTGCTGTGATGTGGTGGGAGGCTGGCTTGGCACAAAACAGCAAGGCAGAAACTGCAGAAAACTGTGTGAAACGATTTCTGATCATTTTGGCTCTATCAGAAGTACAACCGCAGTCTACTCCTATGTCTAGAGGGAGCAGGTTGGGATTTAGCACGCAGTCAGGTCCCTTGCTGGCTTATCCTCATGCGGGTTAGGAAAGGAAAAATCATCCCTCCTGTCTGGGTACAATGGGCCTTTATGATTTATTAGACAGTCCTCCTTTTTTGCCTCAATTACTCACTTCAAAAGGGGGTGGAAATGGGACATTCCTAGCCCTAATACTAAATGCATGTAGTCAATAAAAAAAGAAAAAACACTGAAAAATGTTTAAAGGGAGGGTGCTTAAGTTATTGCAACCCTTGGGAGCATTAATGTATGTGCCAACAAGTTACTGTATGCGGCTTTAACATGCTTATTTATTCTGCTGTGCAATAAAACTCTGTCTTAAACAGTGCCAAAACCTGTTTGCCATGGCAACCCCTCATCACACATGTGTTCCAGTACTACTTACAAGCACCTTCTTAAAGAGAAATACACAGCAGGATGAATGGCTCGTGACCTCCGGGGCATTTTACAAAGTTTTAAGCACCCAAGTAAATATTACTTTGGGCTGAAATATTTCTCCCAGGTATTTTTTTTTCCCCCTCCTCCTTTTTGAGGAACTCTTTAAGCAGTGAAGCAAAGCCTGTTCCCCGCTCACTTCCCTCCAAGTGGAGCTCTAAGGACCTGGACAAAGCACAGAGCCCGACTTTTACCTGGCAGGCCTCAGGTGCTGCCTCCTGGCTGGGGAGGCATGGCAGGAATCAGCTGGCCTTCTGCAGTTTCAGGGGCACCGCAGCTGTTCCTGGAGTCATTACTCATCCTTTGTATTGGCACAAAAATAGATTCTTTCCCTCCTCCCACTCGCACTAAATGCTAGCTCAGTCTAGCCACTGGCCTTTAAGTCTGCGTGTGCACATGTTGGTAATAAAGCCGCGTAATGTTAGTGTTACACTCACCGGCTCTGAGAGTGCCCAGCCCAGGAAAGGGGTTGACTCCGGGTCCTTTTTCCATTGCTTAATTTACTGCTGGGCCTTAAAACTGGTGAGACGACCTTGTTCCCCACAGCAGGGGAAGATGCATCCTAGCAGGGACTTACCTGAAGCAGGGTAGGTACAGCACACAGCTAAACCATCCCCAAATCTGCAGCATGGAGGAAACTGGGTCCCTTGGGTGGCTTCTTCCAACATGTGTGCCCACAGCTACACACAGCTCTACACGGAGGAGCAGTTCCCACCACCACCAGAGCACTGCCTGGGGTTGGGGTCCATGCTTGGGACATCCACGATCCCGCTAACCTCACTGGACTCTTCTAGTTAGATCACCAGAGGAATCATAGAGCAGAATCACAGCATATCGGGTTGGAAGGGACCCACAAGGATCATCGAGTCCAGCTCCCAGCTCCACACAGCACTACCTAAAAATTAAAACTTCACAAAAGTTAGCAGTGTCTTAGTCCTCTGGCACCACATCATTAATTTCTCCACCAGAAAGCTCAGTTTAATCCTTACAGAAAAACCTCTGAAAGTTATCAGGCTCTCCAAGGCCACGCACATTCTCCAGAGCTGACAAACCCCCACACACTTCGTCTCCCAGTTAAATCCCAGTCCCAGCCCTTCACAGACCCTGGTTGGAATGAGAGAGCCAGTCCCCGAAAGGCAAAGCAAACCTTACCAGAAACACTTGTGGTGACATTGCCTCTTGTCGTCAGGTCCAGGGGAAAGACCTTTCCAGCACCCAGGAGAGAAATCCTAGAAAGTACCAAAATACAGTTATTTGAAAAATAAATAGATGTGTATAAAGCAAGGAAAGAAAACAGTGTATTCTTAATGCTCCATTATTAACGGTACTCAGTAAGGGATTTTCTGCTTTGCTGGAGCATGTAACAGGCTTAAATAAGAATCCCTATCAGAACATAACTTTGTAATTATGCAGATAACATTTGCTGTTGTAACAACAAAAGTGCTCAGGCTCCATTGGCTACACATTTCTTTGGGTAACAGAGATGTCTCTCAGCTCGTGCTTCAGCAAGACCACAAGTGTCACCTTGACAAACGAGCAACCATTTAAGACTGCAGGCATTTAGCAGTGCTGTCCTCTGTTCCTAGGGAGAAGTTCAGCTACTGGTTCCTGGCACCATTCCTGAAGAGTTGTGCCAGGGATGAATGTTGATCTTCCAGCCCCATGAGCAGCATGAGTTAACCATTAGCAAACCCCAGCACTAGCTCAGGTGCATCCTTTCAAAGCTCAGCAGGTGGTACTCACAGTGAAAACCTGCAGGAGCTACCAGCAGGGAAAAAAAAAAAAAAAAAAAAAAAAAGGCATTTTTGTGGTGCCTGTAGCGAAATTTTCCTGTTTTCACCCTGTTTGTTTGTAGAAAGACTCTAGAAATGGAGCTATCTGGGGGCTGTTTCCAAATGCTTCTGTGTTTCTCTTTCTCTCCCCAAAACAACACCACCACTCCTGGGTGTTTGGGGGGGAGCAGATGAAGTATTCCATTTTCTTTCTTTTCTCACTGATTGACCACGTTTGTGATCCCAGTGACCAACACAGAATATAAGCACATCCCCGCAAATGTAGGTTCCAGGACATAACCCAACATTTCCCAGTGTGCAGAAATGAAGTGTAGCAGTTCTGTACAGTAAGTGATTCCTTCTGGTAAGCTGCGACCTGCTCCTGTGCAATTGCAGTGGATGTGTTTTACTGCCCTGGCTGTGGGATCGATCCCTTCCACAGCAAGTCTTGTAAACAGATCCGTTCCTTGCCGGAGAGATGATTTTTGATCAGCTCCGTGTGAGTCAAAAATTGTGCTGAAATGTCTGATTACGAACACTTCTGTCATGTCATACAGCTTCCCAACTCCCAACTGGAAAACATCTTGATATAATACCGTGTCATCAGTTTAAAAGAACATATAAAGTTAGGTTTATTGAGCTGCAACCTTGCAGTGCATTTGCAAAATTCAGAAAATATGTTAATGTGTTATTTCTCCTAAAAGTAGGCACTGAAAACACACTGATCTACTCCTGCATGTGTTTACAATTATTTCTGCATGTTACTGTGCCCAAATAACTGTTAGAAAAATTTCCAGGCTAGTGTGTATGTTTAGTTTTACTCAAATTCCCATAAATGCATAAGAAATCTCTGCTGCCTAGAGACTCGAGAACGTAGTTTTAACTGGAATCAAATATCATGAGTGATACCTATTACTGCATCCTACCCGCCTATTCCATTGTAACTTGGAGGCATCGTAATATTTTGTGTCATTACATAGTGCTGGAGGCATGAAAACTCTCCAGGCTGATTAGGATCTTACCATTCCTCACAGTAAAGCACCCAATCCATCGGAAAGGACTGCTAGCTCTCGGCTGATCATTCATTTGTCTCGTTGAAACCCTATGACTCCATTTTAAGAGCTTTTTTATAGACTCGTATAAAGGAGAAAGTGAACTTTTTAACATGTTTGCACTCCACTAAGTCAATACACATAAAAAGAAGTACAACTGGGGTTCCTACATGGATATATGGCCCAGAAGTGCTAAGCTGGTAAAGAGATCCAGCTACTAGTTAGGCAGGAGATTAACATGATTGCCTTTTCTTCACATTGCTGACTGCCTCCTAGAAGCAAGGGGCACCCAGAAACCTAACAGGAGGATGAGCCAAGCCCTGGACTCCCCAGACAGAGGTTTTACCCAGTAAATTCATGTGGCTTTTTGTCAGAATAGTACATCTCACTCTGGTTATTGTTGCTTATCTGTCCTTTCAAGGAAAGTCTAAATCAACAGCATTTATATTTGCTACATACAGAACACGAAGACTTTGTGGTGGGTGTTAGAAACCAAGCCCTCTTTGGATGGACGCATACACACCCCTTTAGCAGAGTCCCATAGCACCATTGTTACTGTTTCTATAGGACTTTATTATCCTAGAAATTGCACATTTCTGTAGATGATGAGTAGCCTCTGTCCCAACAAGTCTATATTGCAAATACCTGGTACTTGTCCAGATCTTTCCCACATCAATACAGAGCTGAGTCAAGGGAGAGAGAAATTAAAAGCAGCTTCTCTCTCTCCACTGGTGTTGTTCCAGGCACTTGGCCCCTCACTCCAATGCCTGCGAGATGGTAAGAGAGAAACTCAGAGGAAGCAAACAGAAGATTCTCAGCAGCTGCAAGATGCAGCAAATGAAAGGAACATGTTTTTAAATAGAAACCATCAGTACCAGTACAGCTGTCAACTGCACTTTGCCCAAAAAGGGAATTTTTATTAAGCTCTGTAAAAGCTTCTAAATCTGGAACTTTAAAAGCATTTTTCTCTATATAAAATGAGAGCTTACAATGGCATATCTTCATTGAAAGCCAACGTTGGAGCAAGAGCTGCACCAAGAGAATAGCTGAGATGAATGCTGTTATTAATTATCATTGAAACTTCTACTTCAACAGCCTTTCATGAACTGTAAAGTTGATCAGGATCTCCCAGCCAGATGGCTAATGAAATGCCATCAGCCAGCCTTTCCCACAGATGATCTCCTTCATACTTTGTAGCTTCCAAGACATCCACACCACCAGCAAAGTTTAACGAAGGTTTAATCTGAAGTTAACAAACCATTGATTGCTGGGGTTGCAGGAATCTGAGTGGCATTTGGGAAGCAATGAAAGAAACATAGAAAACCTCAAAGGATAGCGTGAGGCCGTTATCTCAGGGCATGTAAATCAGTGCAGTTCTGGACTGTCTCTAGGCCTGAAAAAGATTTTGCTTCTCGAATTCAGTGCTGAACTGTGCAGCCAGGAAGCAGGGACTGAAGGAGGTGACAGTGCAGTCAAGCAATGGATTTTATCAAGAAGCTTGGAGGATCTCCAAGCTATGGGTCAGGAAAATCTCTGGACTTTCGCCATTCTTCACAACAGTTCATCCCACACCACCATGGGTGGTTCCCAGTGGTTCTGGTCATCCTTTGACCAACAGAGCCAAGCTTCCTGGAGTGAGAAGCAGGCAGGAGAGAAGGGATCGCAGGGGACCATGCACAAAGAAGCCTCCTGCATTTCCAACTTCCTCAGCAAGTCTGAAAACAGCAACTCTGCCCACCAACCAGGCATGAACATCAGTGGGAAACAGCCAAAAATGAAATGGAAGTTCAAGTGAGGAGGTGTAAGCAGACCTTCAGCTGCTGGATCCAGATAGACATGTACACAGCAAGACAAATCTGTTCATTTTTAAGTCTAAAATTTACAAGAGTCCAGCTGCATCACCCTGCTCCAATACAACGTGTCCATAACCGTATTAAAAGACCAACTGCTGAGGAAAGCAATCAAGAGAATTGGGTACTTACACAAACTTGGACCTTGAACTTCTCAGTGGTGCCTTTTCTATGTTGTAAGACATGGATATAAACACAATCCTCGTCTCACGGTATAAAAACATTTAGGATTGTAAAGCGTTAGGTTAGAATGAGTTACAGCAACAGGGACTAACTAATTTAGACACATCCACTACTTATTTCCCTCTTACTGGAGAGAAGATCTGGGAGCCACCAAAGGCTCTGCTGAGCTACGCCAACCAGCAGACAAAGCTTCTTGTCATGGGCAAATTTACTGTGAAAGATTTGAGGTGAAAAGTGCCCAGCCCTGGAAACTGAAAGATAGACACAGACAGTAACAGCACCCAGCACCCACCACATTCAAATATTTTGAAGTCAGCTCTCAGATAATAGAAGTGGTTTCAGAGCAGTGGCCATGCAGACCATGTTCCCTAGGCCTACACCTAAAGTTTTGTGGGGAAACCTTGATTTATGTACCCAAATAGCACCAAATTGACCTCATCACCCAGGGATTAAGGTAATCTTGCAATAATTCCAAGCTTTCTATATAACTGGAAATATTGATTTGTGCTGTCTAAAGGGGAAAAATTTTTAGAAAATTCTACTTCCACAGGATCTTCAGACCCTTCCAACAGCAAGCTAGTTAGCTTTTAATTCCAAAAGTCTTAAAAGGATGCCAAGAAAGAGAACATCTTTGGGCAAGTGAGTACAGCACAACAGGTAGTATGTAAGTGAAGTGTTTAAGTGTTCCTACTGATACTCGAACTCGTAATGTACTTGGGAAGACCTGGTGGAAGTTCAGCTATCACAGGCAGTCTGACAACAATTTGAAGTATGGCATACCCAAAATAACATCTGGGACACAACAAGCAGTCTAAGCAGCAAATACAATGTTTGCCCATACATTATGAGCCTGAACATGTAGAATAACATAGTGAGAGTTTGAAATGCTTTAAAGTTTAACTTTATTACCTCACTCAGTGCCCCATTAACTAGGTCTAATTTTAATCAGCCAACTGTCCTAATTTAGTTGCGGCAGAATTATCTTCCAGGGATGGTGGGAACTACATGTCACTGGCACATTACATTTATTCAAGGACCAGCATTCCTGGAGTGCTTCTCATTCTAAGTGGCTTTGTTTCAGAAACAACGGGTAGTATAATTTTATCTGGCCCTGATGACAGTCTTGGGATTGATTTCACCATACTCTCACAATGATAGGTTTCTCGGAGATCCTCCAAGCTTCTAAGCTGTCCATTTCAGCAGGATGACCACAGCTCTGCTCACAACTTGGAGAAGAGGCCATAGGAGACAGGCCGTCCTGAAGACAACTCTCAAGACAAAATATGTGGACCTTTCCATATTGGTACAGTCCCACAAGAGATCTCTAACTCCCCTTATCTCTAAATGGCAAGATTTCCAAGCAGCTCTTTTCCTTTTTTTCTTTTAAAATCATAAAGACAACCTGTTGTTGGTTGGTTGTTTTTTTTTTTTTAATTAAAAAAGCCAGTGCCCTCCTGAGAGATACACAAAAGGGAAGGGGAACCACAGCCAAGTGAACAGGATCCACTCTCTGATATGCAGTTTGTGCATGGTTAATGGATGTTGGGCATTAATATTTCTTACCCTTTTGTCTGTGTTCACTGTAATAGAAACCCCTGTCTAGACTGAGTGGCTACTACAAGTAATCCCAGTAATATCCAGTAAAATCACTCTGAAATGCGATAGCTATAGTTATCAAGGAGCACCAGGATTAACTTGATTGATTGAACAATGGACTTCTGGTTTTTAACATGATCTATATGTGTCCCAAAATCAAAAAATATACATATGGTTGTAAACCCTTCAATTCAGGGCAACTTATCATAGTCTGTAAATGTACTGACACACCCTAAAAGGAGAGAGATTAGTGCTGCTTCAAAATGAAAGGATAAATGGCAATGGCCATAAAGAAATACTTTCACTTAAGCAGCCACTGCTTCTACAAGGACAGGGACACATCAACCTCTCTACTGGCAGCCAGGGAACAAACAATACATACTTGCCTCAATCTTTCCTTAAAAGTCCTCTTCTGAAAAGACATCACAGCTGATGATGTTTGTGGTAAGTTCAACCAAGAGAGACATCTCCTCCTGGAGGGGCCTCTGCAGCAACTCAATAAACTACTATGCCATGAGACAAGGAGAGCTGGAGACCACCAGGAGGGATAAGATTACTTCCACTGCACTTGATGAATTTAAATGGGTAGAAAATTTCTGGGTCCAGGTGTAGAGTGTCATCTACTTCCACTACGAGCACATGGTGGTTTTCTTGCTAACCTGGGTCTGCAAGGGTGCACCTGATACCTTTGCTTTGAGCTGAGATAATCTGGGGTGCTTATGGCTGACCTTTCTGAAGGCTGATTCAAACAATTAATAATTAGTCAGAGATGCAAGACCTGGAACTAGAACTCCTGCATCCACATCTAGCTCAGCCTGCAGTCCTCTTCAGAAGTTTGGTCAAACTCTTGAGTTCTTTTTATAGGCTAGTGTGGGCCTGGAAACATGAAATAGAGAATTTCTATCTAGCAAAACAGAGCTAACAGTAACTGAATACACAGTTAGGTAGAGGACGAATCACGTCTCACACTAGAGAAGCATCAACCTTTAGAAAAGTTACACATTAGATCACATTCTTTTAAGGACTCACCACTTAAAAGTAGATTTTTATATCAGGAATTCACAATCAATTCCCACTAATTTAAAAGGGAATTATGTCAATACAGTTGCAGCAGCACCTGGCTGTACAAAAGGTGACAAGAGTTAAACACCGAGCTAATGAGAGCTTTTGTACTGTGATAGTCTCTTCAGGAACAGCTTTGGAATGACCTAACTAAAAGATGGGGCACTTCCTCTCATCTGTAGCAGGCTAACAGACAACATAATTGCAAAGAAATGGAAAACTACTAACCTCAGTGAATTCTTCATTTATTCATATTATTTCTGCCTCAATCACATGATGACATAAAACAATTGGTCACTAAATTTTGAAGCTCTATCACATGCTGCAGCAAAGTGGCAAACATCCTTCTGAACCTCTCTGCCTTCCTTTTTATGCTGTACCTGTGACTCATGCTTCCTTTTGTTCCTGCATGAAAAATGGCAGAACAGGTGGTTTGTGTTTGTTTGAAAAAACAATTAAAAGAGCTCTCACTCTATTGCTAATTGTTGAGTAGCTCACACTTGCTCACCTGGGATGAGTCTGCTGTAACGAGGCTGCTTGTTCCCTTTGTTTCTGTGAGCAATCCAATTTGAAGTGAGGCAGAGCAGGAAAGGGAGCCCTATGGAAATTCCCCCATTCATTTATTTTTAACTTTTCCGGTGGAAATGTTTTTGTTTCCAGAATCTGGGGCTGTACCTATTGCCTAGCCTTCCTCAAATTCTGATGGAATCTGATGTTTAAAATGAGCAAGAGATACTTGATTTAAGTCCCTTCCCTTCCACCAGCCAGTGTGGAGCTTTCACAGCTCCTTAGGTGAGGATAAATTTCCATGTCTAGCAAAACATGGGTAAAGAACTCTGCGCTGACCTGACTTTGAACCTTTTGCTGAGCCATTCTCAGTGCAGAAAAATATTTATTTTATTACAGCTCTGCAGAACTCATCCCAGCCCAGATACTCAGATTAAGACCAAATGTGTTGAGCTTGCATTAGGTGAAGTCATGAGAGATTTGTGTTTAGGATTTTATCTATGTTTCTTTTGTAGATGTTACCGATGCTGAAATGGCACAAAATAAAAGAATCGCAGTAATAATAGTTCTCATGGCATCTTTCAGGTTCTTCTGGGGACTTTATAAAGGGGATAGCCCTATCCTGTGTCAGATGCTGTTTCTGAGGGGTTATGTAACACCAGTCTCTCCGAATCCTGAGAAATTCCTTTTACAAGAAATTTCACGAGGCTCTCCTGGCTGGCTGAGCAACTTCGAGTCTTTGAGCCTTGGCTTACATCAGCTCCCCGCACATCACAGGGCCTGCAGACATCTCCGGGCCCTGCTCAGCAACACCGCTAACTGTCCCAAGAGCAACTGAGAGGTGGAGGAGGGAACCTCTGCCCAGCCAGAAATGGAAAAGTGTCAAGCTATAGAGAACTCATAGCGGACATGTGTCTCTAGGCACGGCCCAGATTTGATCTTGGGAATCCTGAAATATGATAGAAGGGACCATCTGACCTGTGCTGAGACTTAAGTCTGAGATGTACAGTCAGACACCCATGAAACACTCATAAGTTTCTGATTTTCACTGCATTAATGGCTATTTCGATAGCAGCGAAAGAACTGAACACTCCTGGGACTAGACACTGATGAAACCATTTAAGAGTTTTCTCACCAAAATTTCTGAGTAATCCATGTTCTCATGGTAACAGCAAAATCCCTGTTAAAATATAGTTGCAAATATCCTGTTTCTTTTTATGGCCGAGCTGATATATCAGACCTGAGATATGAGATATACGATATTTCCATTACAACCATAATGTCTCCTTGGGACCTATATGGTGTCACTGTGTATTACCAGACTTCAAGAGTGATCCTGAATACAAAGACTTTATTTACTAAAATATCACATGTATTCCTGATTCTTCTATTGTAATACGAGGATGATGAAAAATAATGAAAATAAAAGCTAATTCCAATATTTTAAAGCCTAAATGTAATTTTTAAACTTGGGTTGTATAGTAGGGAAAAAGAAAGGAAAATAGTGTGAAATATTTCAGAAGTTTTTTTTATCTGATCGTGATCACAGGGGAAACGCCAAATGAATAACCTGAAGTTTTATTAGTGTCTCTGGGCTTGTTTCTGTGACTGTGTGAAAGAAACCTTTATAAAGGAAGCATTATCTGAAGACATCCCCCAGCTTTTAATACCATTTTCGTGAAGTGTAACAATATATCACTAATACAGAAACCGAGATCTGCCGCAGCATTATCTATCTGATCTGTTTGGAAGTAGCCTGAGACGCAAGGAAGGGTGGTGAGATGCAGATGTTATCAATTAGCCAAAGAAGTTAACAAAACAACTTCAAACCGCAGCAGTTGTTCCAGCTGAGAAGCCTTGAAGGGGACATTTAGCTGGTGCTGTGGGCTCGCTCCTTTTGTATGTGCTGATAGGAAGCCCGTCAGACCACAGCTGTGAAATCCCAGCTTTGGCAACCAGATCCTCCCCAGCAAATCCAGGAGGAAGGAGGCAAGACTGGCATTGGAAGGGCTGCCCAGTTCTCAAGGCAAAAAAAAAAACTCTGGTAAAGCACAACAGGTCTCACAAAATGGCATTTGGTAGACGAAGTGAGTGATAAGAAGTAAACCTGCTTCTGTCAGGGCAGAACCAGCGGTGACACAAAGGTTGTGTGAATTTCTATAAAAAAGAAATCCTTCAGGATGTGACAAATAAGGAAAATGTTTGGGAACAGAAGATCAAGGCTAGAAATAGAGTGGATTTTTTTTGTTGTTTTGTGCCCTGAAGTGGCACCACCTGCCTGAGCTGGGGTAGAACAGGAACACGTGGGGTTTTGCACAGACTTCTTTATCTTCTGACTAGACGGAGTCCTTGGCACCGGCCATTGGTTGCTAGCTAGTACAGTCAAATTAAGGTCCAAGGAAAATCAGGGATTTGTTTTATTTTCTACTGGAAAGAAAACAGAAAAAAAAAAAAAAAAAAAAAAAAAAAAGAGAGAGAGAAAAAAAGGCAAGCAGATGTTCAGAGCACAGGAGATGGAAGATGGAAGTCCTTCCTTCCCTCCCAGCTGTTGGGCTCCCAGCCCCATCTCACTCCCTGGTAGTTCAGCTTCTGACCATCCCAGCACGCCCTTTATGTCCTAACCTGGATATCAAAGGCTAGCCTTCAGATACCCCCATGGGGCATGACGTGGCTGTGCTCTCAACCCTGAAGGCACTCCAGGTTCAAGAGGATATTGCAGGATATAAGGTCAGTGTCTAAAGCCTATGGGTACCAGCAGAGCAGAGCAAATGGTGCTTTCCATGGAAGCTTACACAGGTAGAGCAGGAAAAGCTGCCCATCACCTCTAAAATCAGAGCAGAGTCTAGGATAAAAGTGTGCTCAAGATAAATACGACTTCCCTGTAAGGTTGTGATGCCCTAGCCTTGAGTGTGACAAGACCCCTGGTGATGTTCATGGCCCAACATCTTGGATGGGAGATAAAAATGTACCACGGTGTTCAGGCAGTGAGACTCTTTGTGACAAGCCCACAAGCAGAGCATCCCGGCAGGGATCGTGGGCTGCAGGGTTGGGAGCAGCAGGAGGCCAGACCTGAGGGTAGCTGAGTAATTGCACTTATCACATTTGATTAAAAATCCATTTTATCCAGAAGAGTGCAGCCAGAGGTTTATAAGCCAAAACATGCTGGAGAGAGTGTGTATTGCTGGGGCTTGCAAGAAATGATAGCGATACATTCCCTGATGTTGAAGTGACAAGAGAGAAACAGTAAAAAGTTGCTGTACCTGCAGTTTTTCAGCGTGCTCTACTAAACGCGGAGGGCAAAGGGGACTGGAGGAGGCTGTTTCATTGCCTCTGAGCAAAGACACATCCCTTTTCTGCCATGAGTCCTGCATGATATGGCCACTAGCCCAGAGCTGCCGCGATCTGCGGTGCCTCATTTGGCGTGCATCTGCTGGAGCCTTGTCTAAGGTAAAACACTGACACCACTGAGCTCATTTCCAAGTGCTTGCACCAGCGTACGGGCAGCCTGAACGGCGTCTGAGACATGCAGCCAGGAGGCACCTGGTACACCAGTCCTTACAGAAAATCGGGCTGAGAGAGGTCCTGGGTCACCGAGCCTTGTCTCCTGCTATCACAGGCACCATGCCGGATAATCCCCTTCATAAACACAGCAGCAGCTGGGGGAGGAAAGCCTGGAATGGCTGAGGATGCTGAATGTGAGGTGTTAGAGGGTCCAGAGTCAGGGGGATTTGGAGTATGCAAAGAATGCAGCTTTGTGCTGTTTAGAGGAGCAAAATAATATTTTATTAACAAAGCTGGAAAGTCATACATCCAGGGAAACACCCGAGACCTTAATTATGCCGGAGAGGCATCAGGGTAATGCAGTATTTGCTTTCTAATTCTGGCCCTGAGTTCAGAGAACTATTTTTTTTCTGTTTCAACATTTGGTTGAACACAACACGCCAACAACAGAGAAAAAAAATAGAAAGAAAAAAAAAAAAAAAGCACTGGTTTCCACTCCTGCAAGTACTGTGTCTGTTTTAAATCATGAGAAAGGGAGACTTCTAATGAGGCTGATTCATATAATGATGTATTTTACAAGCTATTCTCAGCAGATTCACTGCAATATGTCATTCTTTATGTACCATGAGAGATATATGAGCACACGAGCTTTCAGAGGGTGGGGAAGTCTCTGAATAACTGTCCGGTTTTGCACCTTGTGCTGGAGGAGGAAGAATTGGAAGTTCACACAGGCTCTTGCTTCCAAACCCTCCAGACCTCGGGTCAGCTGTGAACTCCACTCCAATAAATGTGAACATTACAAGACTTGTGTCTTAAAACTTATTTCCAAGGAAGTCTCTCATTTTATTGCAACACGAATAAGAGACTCTAAGGTAATATTTACTTTGTTTTACATTTCATAAAAAAAAAAAAAAAAAAAAAAAAAAAAAAAAAAAAGACTGTAATTTCATGGAGGCTCTAGCAGGAATACCTCTTTCCATCCAAGCGGAAGAAATCGTGTTCAGGACCTTTCCCGAGGGCTCGAGAAAAGCACGTTAACATGGAAACTCCCACTCTGCTTTATTTGTGAGTTACTCTTGCAGGAGGATGAGGCTGGAATTGAGAGAAGCTATAACTGGACTAGCTGGCCAAAGCCTGTGACATTAAGGGGCAGGCAAGGATGCTGAGAGGATAATCCCAGAGATGCAGCTCTCCAGCTGATGGAAATCAGAAGAGCCAGATAATCACTGAGAGAGATTCCCAACTAGAAGGAAGGTAATTGCAGGGGCTTTAAGAAAAAGGGTGCAGTAGTTTCTCCAGGTCTGTCTGTCACTCCCGTCACTGCTGCCTCTCCCAGCACTGTCTTTTAAGATGCTGGAGGAGGGGCTGAAGCCCTTTTAATGAAGCGAAAGGATGAACGGGAGGCCTGTCCAGAACAGCAGTGGAAAGAGAAAAGTCACATGCAGGGAGCCCAGCGCGTGGCGAAACCAGAGCTGCAGCCTGCTCCAGAGCTGCCGAGGCACAGACGTCTTCAGGAACCCTCCACGGGGC